AGAGCCTGGGCAGCACAGAGAGCACAGAGGAAGCAGAAGAAACAGCGTGGACTCCGGGGCCACTCATGTCAGCAGAGACTTGCACCCCTCTCTCCTGAGGCCTTGAGGCAGTAGGCACAGTCCTCCTTCTGTGCAGCTGGCTCAGCCCTGGGGTCCTCAGCCCTGGAAGCCCTCAGAGACAGTCCTGGGAAGAGGGAGGCCCCAGAAAACAAGGCCTGATCTGCCAACTCCTTCCTGCCCCCTACCAAAGCCCCTGAGATCCAGTGAGGTCCAGCCCTGCTCACCCCTATGTGACTGTGACACCCTAACTTCCCCCAAAACACCTCCTTTATGCCTTTCTAGCACGTCCAGTCCGCCCCTCTTCCCCAAGGCCTCTACCAGTGCTGTTCCCTTTAGCCAGTCCCTGCCAAAAGATAACCACAGTTGGTGGCGACTCATACTTGTAATCCCAGCCACTCAGAAGGCTGAGGCAGGAAGACTGCAAGTTCCAGGCCAGCCTGAACAACTTAATGAGAACCTGTGGCAAAGTAAAAAGGGCTGGGGATGTGGGTCAGTAGTAGAGCACCTCTGGATTCAGTCTCCAAGACCATACAAAAAAGAAAAGATGACCACACCACCTCCTGCAGCCGCTCTCTCTGCATGCTGGTCAAGTCCCATGATATGCACTCTGCCGTCGCACAGACTCCTCTTTAATCTGTGTCAGTCAACTCCCACTCCGATGCATACTCCACAGACACAGGGCACCACCCATTCCTCACCGTATTGTCCCAGGACCTGGAATCATGCCCAGCTCAGATAAAGTGTGGGAGCCATTTCCTCAGACACATCTCCTCTCCATCCAGTGACTCTCCAGTATGCAGCTGTGCACTCCACGATGGCCTCCAGTGTCTGCCCCCCAGGGCACTTGGGCAGCACCGGAGCCTACGATGTGACTGTCCTATGTCCCTTCCTCCAGCTGCTTGGGAGTGACACCAAACAGGACCCCAGGTGAGAACACCACACAGACCACATATATGATTCTGAGATGCTGGCAGAGGGAAGAAGAGAGGTTTGATCTCAGGGTGTAGGGAGGAAAAGTGGACCACAGTGGGACGGGGCAATCTAGACAAAGAGACCACACGGACGGATGTGGGGCCAGAGAAGGCCCAATGAACAGAAAGCACCTGGGCTGGCAGTTGGATTAAACTCACTGCAGTGGTTGAGCATCCACTTTATAAAGCTGTTATTTCATGGTCAGTAACCCCAGTTCCTGACACCTCCCTGTCCAGCACATGAACCTCCCAGGGCTTTGAGTCCCTGAACAGAGAGAGCAGGCGGCTGGGCTCATCATGCCTTTCCTGGGCTGGTGCTGCAGAGAAACTCATCCCTTTCCTTTCCTCTCCACACCAACTCCACTAGACAAGAGCTGTAGGGAGACTCTGCAGCTTCCTGCAACCTGGGGCAGCAGGGAACCTGAGATGCCCATATGTAAGGATGGTGCCAGCCTCTGATCTTTCCCAGTCACCAGAAGGAAAAGAGAGAGGGACAGTGGGTCTTTCATGCCTACAGCCCAAAGGGTCAGCTGACCTGTGCAGGATACAGCATGCTCCAGGAGACAAGTTCCAAATGCCTGGCCGATGGCTGTCCCCTGCCCTGAAAAGGTTCCCTATTGCCTGCCCAGGAATCCTGACACCCCAGGCTGAGCAGAGCCCTGGCTAGCTGAGACAAGGTGCACCCAGGTACAGGACTAGGGCCAGAAAACACACCAGGCAGTGCCTCTGGAGACATTTGCTGGGCAGAAAACGGGGGCAAGCATGAGCACAGCTCAGGATAGTGAGCCTTCCAGGTGCCACACTGGATGCTCCTTCCCAGGCAGGGCCAACCCTTCCCCTAGAGGGGGATGCCACAGATCACAGCTGACAGTGGGGTACTCCTCAGGGGGCAGTCAGGAGCTGAGTGACAGTGGAGCAGAGATGCAACTTCAGAGGATCACAGGGCAGCCCCTGGGCAGACTACCTGAGATAGCGTCCATCTCCCAGCTTGGCAGCTTCTCCACAAACCTCGGGCCTTGGGCAACACGGCCTTGTTCCAGAAGCAACTTAGGAAACTAAAATGGCAACTACACAGGCACCTAAGGACTATGGCAAGATTTCTTCCCTCTCATCTCCCAGGTTTTTACATCGTGTTATTCTGTACATCAAAGGACACCTTGAAAAGGAGCTATGAAATATACTTCACAAACCACTCCCAAACTCAAAGTATCTAAGAACCGTGAACTAGCTGCCCCCATAAGAATGGCACTGGAAGGTTTGGTCAGCCTGGAGAATTTGCCCGAAGCTGCTGTCCGGTCTAACGGGATGGTGGCCTCTGGGTGACTCCAATTCCCTCTTTCATTATTCTACGATCTTGCAGGGAGCCCTTTGCTCACTGACGCTCAGCCTTTTCCCTCTGAAATGCAGGCAATGTAGGCTACAGGCAGCATTCATAGCTCCCTGTCCCTGAATCTGTCCAGTTATTTGATGTTATAAATCAAGAAGTAGGGAAAGTATCCTTGAAGCCCTGGCTCAGGCAGGCGCTGATTTCAGAGCACTTGGAGCTTTCTGCAGATTCAAGGATGAGCAAAAATTCCGCCTGGGGATCTGGCAAGCTTTTAATTCTCTCTGTTTTTCATCTCAGAGACTTCACAGCGAACTCACTGGATAAATGGGTTATTTCCTCCCAGGTTTAGGTAATTGCAGATACATAACTCATCCACATGCCAACCTTTAAAATGTCTAGAGGACACTTTCCACAACTAAATCAGCAGACACTACACTCAGAACAGAATTACTACAAATAAGAAAATATCTTGTATGCTTGTCTGACACGAAGCCCTCCTGGAAAGTGAGGGAGAAAACTGCAATCAACAAACACCCCTAGCAAGACTTTAAAATAAGCAGTCGTACTCAACCAAAAATCACTAGGGATCAGACACTAAACTTCTAAGGGACTTAGCATTTATCTGTCATGTCTGAGATTGGGAATGCTTTCTGCCTTCAATCTATGAAGTACATTAAAAATAAAGAAAGGGGTTTTATTTTAGAAAAAAGAACACAGCTATAGAACTTTTCAGGAAGTCACACACAGATGCTCCAAAGGGAGTCACTTGAAGCCAGTTGTTTTTAATACCCAGCTTTTAATACCTTCACTCACATACAAAGAGAACCACAATGAGCAAAGGAGCTTGTGTTCCTCCAAAGTATTAACAGCTGATATTCCCTGCACCAGACAAGGCCTGGGCAGGAATACAGAGATTCAACGCGATACCAACCCAGAACAAATCCCTCCAAGCTTATAAAGCACGAACCACACTCAAAATACAACTGGATGACATGTTGTGTCCAGATTTCTGGAGGCTGCTATGCAAGACACAACAGGTGCAGGTGATGCAAGTAGCAGAAAGCCAGCCTGATCTCGGGCTCCATGCTCAGCTACACGTATGGCTGATGTTCAGACAGACTTGAGGCACACACGTGTGCGGCTCTGAGGTGTGCTCGCACCTTGTTAAGCCTCAGCTGTGGAAGACAAACAAAGGGAGTGGCAAAAGCGTGCCCAGGACAGGGAGGGGGTGCCTGGGAGCTACCGGCTTTCATCTCTAGCCAGGCGGGCCCCACAGCTTGGGTGCAGTCTGGCTTAGAGTCAGAAGCTAGCATCAGAAGAAGTTAATGTTTCGAATTTTCACTTTGACTAACTCTGTATGCTGTTATCTGTGATCTGAGCAATTACATCGAGGACAGCAATGTGTAATACAAAACCCATGGTTGAATACCTCTCATCTTGGTCTTGTAAATGTGTACCTTTTCTAATTACCAATTATTATACTATCTTTAAAATAAAACAAAAAAGAAAAAATTAAGATTTCTTGAAAGCAAGTGCCAATATTCAATTATTTCTCCAATCTTGCATAACTATATCTGTTAATCTGAGCAATAGATTTGATGATAAAAAATAGATAATATAACCATTGTTAGCTATTCCTGTTTTAAAAGTCTATACCGCATGTGGTGTTGTATGTTACCATTTTTGTCTTTTTTCTATTTGTTTTTGATTCCATTTTTACACTTCAAAATAAAATTTAAAAAGAAGGAGGAACAGGAGGAGGTGGAGAAAGAGGAGGAGGAGGAGGAAAGGGAGGAGAAGGAGAAGGAGAAGGAAGAGGAGGAGGAGAAGAAACTGCCCTGCACACCCAGAGCAAACCCAGACCAAATCACCCTGGGGATCAGGGCCAAGCCCGACCCTATCTGCTGGCAACTGGGGAGAACCCCACTCAGTCCTGCTCTCATTTCTCTTCAGTGAAAGAAAGGGCCCCCTAGGGGGCTCTTTTGGCAAAACCTCTCATCAAAGGTTTCTGTCCCTCCTTGAAGTGGAGGAACAGGTATGATGCTTCTGCCATAGGCACCTTCCACACTTCCCAAAGCCAATTCCCACATCAGTTGGCGCCAAAAAGGAGCACCATCTGCAGACTCAAGCGCCCTCCCTCCGGGGAGGGGAATTCAGACAAGAGCTGTGCAGGCCCCTGACCACTCTTCCTAGAGTTCCGGACAGAAGAGGGAACGGTACCACGATGTTCCTGGCCCAGTCTCAGAGGGCCTGGAGGCCTTGTCTCTGTACAAGTGCAGGACACCCCTGCCCAGAACAGGCCTGCTTGGGGCCCCAGCAGCTCCAGAACCCCAGCCTCGCCGAACCCTGGACGACACGCGCGCGAGCGCACACAAACGCCCGCTCACACACTGGCGCGCGCACACGGCCAGCAAGCGGCTCCCAGGCCCGGCGGCGCCATGCGCCTGGCGGCGACCCGCGCGCGCCACCGGGTCACGCAGCGTGCGACAGCCGCGGGGCCGCTGGCCCGAGCTAGTCCTTGGCCTGGAGTCTCCGCCCCGCCGAGGTCCGGGCCTCCTGCCAGCGTCGGCGCACCTGCCGCGCGCGCCCCTGTGCCCCTAGCTGCCCCGGCGTGGCGACGTCTCGGTCTCCGCGCGGCTCACCAGCGATAGCAGCCTTCCGAGGCCTCCAGGGTGAAGTTGACGCGCGTGGCCCGCGTGAAGGGCAGCAGCACTTTGGGGATGTTGAGCTTAGCGGCTGCGGTGGGACCCAGCGCCGGCAGCGCCAGCAGTGCAGAGAGCGCGAGCAGCAGCGGCAGCGGCGCCTGGGCCCGCGCCATCCTCGCGGCGTCCCCCGGCGACCCGGCCCGTGCTCAGCCCTCCCGCCCGCGCCTCCGTCCCCGCCCGCGCCGGGCAGCAGGTGATAGCGAGGAGGCGGGGCGAGGCCGCCGCTTCGGGCCACTTCCTGGGCTGCTGCGCGCGGGAAAGCAGGGGCCCCGCTCGTGGCGCCCCCACCCCTGGCTGCTGCGCCCGGGGTCCGGGTGGGGGTGGGGCGCCGCCGGGCCGCTGTGCGTGGGCGGGAGGCGCGGGCGCGACCGCGAAGGCGCGGAGAAAGCCGCGAGCGCGCGCGGGGGGGGGGGCGCCCTCAACCACGCAGAGGCCGAGCCGGGTTGTGGCACCCTCGGTGTTTGTCCCGCGAGGCTTTAGAGCGTCTGCTGGCACTAGCCGCCTTTGGGCAGCCTTTCGATCTTCTCGCAGTCATTCATTCGGCTCTTTTCAGCGCCTCTTGGTAGAGGCAGGGCAAGGCCTGGGCACAGCATGAGCAAGGCCGCCGCAGAAGGACATGCTTGCCTGGACAGCTGGCATTTGGAGTGCCCAATGCGTGCCTCATCCCGGCCCATAAAACACCGAGTCACTGATTCTTTCCTTTGGCATCATCACAACTATACCAGGAGGGTGCTAGGATCCCCATATGTCCAGAAGGAAACTGATGAAATGGCCCCAAGATTGCTCCCTAGGCAGGGCAGTGCTGGGGAGAGGGTGGCTGTGATCCCTGAGCCTATGTTCTCTGCCACAAACCCGCTGTCTTCTAAAGGAGTCACCCCAAAGGTCAGATTTAGGGCAACTAATCTTCCAAAGCATGCTTAGCACCTAACCGGCCCCTCCCAAAGGAAAGTGCAGCTTGACTGAATTCAGCTTCGAGGAGACAAGACTAAGGATCTTGAGTCTGCAGTAAGGCTCTGTGGTTTGTAGCTGTGTTTGTCACGAATTACAGTACCATGTGCTTCTCAGGGCCTCTAAAGTATTCATCTAGTTTTGCAGAGAAGCCTTCAGCCTAGTGGGAAGAGGTCAGGGAAGACGTAGGTGAGGGCGCACAGGCCCTGTGTGGTGCAGGAAGTGTGTGGGGATGTGTAGCCAGTAAGACACACAGAGGTGCTACAGAGCACAGGAAGAGGAAGCTCATTTTCAGTAGAGCTCAGAAAGGTTGAGATGGTTCCCGGACTGGCCACAGAGAAACACTTGTGTGTGCCTCAGAAGGCCCAGGTGGGTGTAACCCCATCTCTCTGGGTCCCTGCAACTTTGGCATGGAATGAGGGATGTTTAGGAAAAGAGCCCTAGGGCTGGGGAGATGGCTCAGTGGAATAAGTACTTCCCTGGCAAGCTCAAGGACCTGAGTTCAATCCCTGGTTCCACAAAAAAAAAAAAAAAAAAAAAAAAAAGGCCCTAGACTAGGGATATATGCATTGGGAGAGATGGCTTTAGAGACCCCAGAACTATAACCTGGGGGGAAGGATCTGTATGCCACTAGGCACTCTAGGAGGGTATGTTTTCTGCAGAGTATATCCCTGAGTAGATCTAAAGGCATGTTATGCTGATCTAAGCAAATATAAATGCATTGGATCCTCTGCCAGAAAGCCAAGGAAAAAAGCTAAAGTAGAAGAAACCCTGTGGGGCATGAGAGTCCTGGACCTCTGGTCCATTAGGATCATGAGTCTCCATGGCCTCATATTTCCAAATCTTGTGATTATTTAGGAAAAATGGATAACCTCAAATTTTAGTTGAAGTATCTTGGCTGTAAATGATAGCAACAAATGTATTTATTTATTTATTTTTAAACTAACGTATTTAAAAACATACATCATCTTAGACATTTGCCCCAGAGAAGTGAAAACTAAGTATCTCAATCCCTGTACATAAGATTCATAATGAACCAAAACTGGAAGCAGCACTGGGGCCCTTAATTGGGGTTGGTGAACATGGTGGCATACTCTTACCATGGAATATGGCCCAGGAATAAAAAGAAATAAACTCCAGAGAGACATGCTAGATGAAAAAACAAAGAGGTTACTGCTCTGATTTGGGTAGTTTAGGTGTCACTCAAGAAGAGTGGACCTCAGTGGTTGACATTTAAAAGCGTTGAGGACCCTTAAGAAGTGAACTCAGCACAGTCCTTAGATCATTGGGACTTTGACCTCTGGAATTGGAGGACCCCAATTTGTCTACTTCCAGCCTCAAGATGGGCCTCCTCCTGACAAACGCTCCTGCCACTGCCACCCACCATTCACCCAGAAGTCCTCACCAGAACTGAGTGACTGCAGGTACAGGGCTCCCAGGGTGAGCTCAGATCTCTTTTAAGTTAGTTGCTATAGGATTTCACTGTACAATATGAAGTTCCATCCTACATAGACTTCGTGTATAGAGTGTTCTTGAATCAGCAAAATTACAAAAAGAAGGACTAGATGAGTGGTAGCTAGAGGTGAGTGATGGTGTGGGTGGTGCTGGGGGTAGAAGAATGCCCCAAACCTTGACTACATCAATGCCAACTCCCTGGGTTTGCAAAACTCTTGGGGAACAAAGTAAGGATACCTGGGAGTTTTCTGTATTGTTTCTTATAGCTGTATGTCAATCTATAACCACCTCAAAAAAGTTTAATTACACAACTAAAAAAATCATACAGGCCTAATGTAACACATCTGAGTGGACACAACTTGTTGGCTGCCTCAGTGGTTATTTTGAGGTAATGAGGACATTTTCCCCAGCAGAAAACAGCCATTGAATGGGAAAATGTTTTCCCATTTGAGACTTCATGCTTTACGTTGCCCTTAAACATGTCTCCCTCCCCTGAGCTTGGTCACTTGAGGACCTGGTGAGGAACCATGTCTGGGGCCATGGGTGGGAGCTGCACCACCCTTGTCTGTATGGTGTTTCTGCTCCCTGCCATTGGTACCCCTTCGCTGGGCAACAGAGCTTTGGGTGACCCAAGGGAAATAAGAGGGCTGAGTTGGCCTACACAGACCAGTAGGCCTCAGGCCTAGTGTCCCTCAAGGACAAGAGAGACTGTTGTCTACCAGATCAATGAGGAAACATTTCCTGGAATATATTATCTTTGTCTCCCAAACTTCTGTTATTTCCTAGCACCCTAAAAAATTTCTTTTACAATATCTGAGTGCCACCTATACTGTCATTTCCTACTTGTCTTTAAAGCAAAGTGTTTACACATATTTATATAAGAAGCAAAGTTTGCTGCTTCTGTAAATAGAAAGTCAGTATCAGTTGCCAAAATAGAATTAGACATAACATAAATACAAGGAAGCAAAGGGTTGATATCCAGTTACTCTGACATGATGGTTCCTGCTAAAGCCTCAGCGTTCAAGGATGCTCTCGGGGTCTTTGCTGGGGAAGCCCCAGCACAGCCAGTGTGCAGGACAGCAACACACTGATCCAGGCCTTTCTTTTGCATACATGGACTGAAAGCATCTTCAAGACAACTGACAGCCAGGCATACTGGCACATGCCTCTAAGCCCTGCACTCAGGAAGCTGAGGCAAGAAGATTGCCACAAGTTTAAGGCCAGCCTGGGGTACTGTATTTAGCATGTCCCAGGCTAGCCTGCACTACATAACAAGTCCCTGTTTTGACAAAGAAAAACAGAGATAAATGAAAAGAGACAATTAGGTTTTTTCTATAGGGTGCTGTCATATTGCGGCCTATGTACCATATTTTTGTCACAACTTAGTAATTTTTAAAAAATCATTTTACAATGGAGAATATCAGTCACAGAAGTGGAGAAGGTAGTATAGCAAAGCTCTCAGGACTGTCCAATCCTGTGGTCACAATCCAAGCCAATTCTGTTCATTCTATAGATGACTTCTACCCCATCTTGTTTTGAAAGAAACTGAAAACATCCTATCATTTCATCTATATTAAATATACCTAAATAACAATAATTCCCTAGTCATGAACTATCAAGATAGAGTTCCAATTTCCACCATCTCAGAAATGCCCTGATTTATTTTTTGGTTTATGTGTTAAGAATTAGGATCAGGGCTGGGGAGATGGCTCAGTAGAATAAGCGCTTGCCTGGCAAATACAAGGGCCTGCCCAAAAAAAAAAAAAAAAAAAAAAAAAGTGCAATAATCAGGATCACCAGAGGTGTAGTACTAGCTACTTGGAGGGCTAAAGCCAGAAATCGCTTGAGCCCAAGAGTTTGTGGCCAATCTGGGAAACAAAATGAGACCTGTCTCAAAAAGAATCAGGATCCATGCAGGGTGTGGTGAATACCTGTAATCCCAGTACTCCAGAAGCTGAGGTAAGAACTGCTTTGAGTTCAAGACCAGTCTGAATTGCATAGCAAGGCCCTGTCTCAAAAACAAAAAATTCTGGATCCAAATAAGCTTCATACCTTGCAGTTGCTGGAAATAGCTCTTCCTTCCCCTTGTAATGTATATATTGTCCCTTTACCTATGGTGCCATCATTTGCATTTCAGATCAGCTGGGAGCTCAGTCCTACCTCCCCTGGACTCCACACCTTGGCTCTCTCTTGTAGTATTGTAGCAGTGGTGGTGGCTTGCTCACTGAGAACCCTATTGGTTTGCTCGTGTGTGTGTGTGTGTGTGTGTGTGTGTGTGTGTGTATGCATTTTGTTTTGTTTTGGTACTGTGATCGAATCTCAATGTATGCATGCCAGGCAAATGCTATACCACTGAGCTGCACCCTTACTCTTGTCCTGAAGTTTTGGCCATGGTCTGTAGAAACAGGCAGGCCCATTGTGGACCTCCACAATCCTCTCTGAGCTGGAAACCTCAGCTTGGTGGTAAATACAAAGGAAGAAAAAGACTGGCAGTGGTAGAATACCTTCCACTTGGTGAAGCCCCTTCCAGAGCCTTATCATGCTTAAAATAATGGTGCCACTTACAGAAATTGCTGCTGCTTATCAGTGCCCAGACACACTGCCTGCTGTGGGCTCCGTGCTTTGCATTTGCACTTACTCTCACCAGAGACAGTTTTCTCACTCTCACTACATGGGTATTCTGCCTGGACTGGTGGGTGTTTACTTTAGCCCGTGGGCTCCTGTGCCCACACTCTTCTTGCCCATGGTGTCACTCGATGGCTGCAGAGTAAGCACTGCAGCCAGCTAGCAGCACCTTGGCCTCCATACGTGGGCTGTCCAGCTGCCCACTGCAGCCCTCGCTGGGCCCTCAGGAGTCTTCA